TGCTTATATAGGTTTACACCACGTGTCAAACTCAAGGCCCGGGGACCAAATGCGGCCCGGCAAGTTTTTTTGAATGGCCCATAGGAGCTTAAAAAGCATTTAATAAAGTCCAGGCAGCAGAGTTTCTCAACCTGAAAAGACCAGAAATGAGTTTAACACAGCTGCTTTACACTTAGCAGAAAATGTGTTCAGTACGCAGTTGTACTTGTTTCGTCTGCCGTTACCACCATCATCTCTGTTTCCTCCGTACATAAAACAGGAGCAGTGGGTGAAATCTTTTGTAAGATTTGAACCGGCAGTCCTCTAATCTGATCCACAGACCGCCCCGTGTGGTAAAATGTCGTCATCATTTTACGGATCAAAGTGCAGGTGCAGGAGCACGGTCATCAACAGAACACATACATGTATCGTGTCGAAGTAATGGTGCCATTCTTCTGGGTTTTTATGGCCAGAGGTACAGAGTACACTCAGGGCACAAATAGAAATGGGTTGGGATTAAGAAGAATCCATTATCATACATTACAGTGAGTGTGTTGGTGTGCGGCAGCAATTCTTTCTAAAAGCATCGCTCTCTCAACAATGATGTACTGACATCATGTAATGGAGCCTGTAAGAGCTGCACCTAAGAAGAAAATAATACCCTCCTGAATGAGCTGCAAGTGCAAATATAGTGTCTGACCAAATATGCCTCCGAGGCCAGATAAATGGAAGTATTGCCCCTGGAAACTTGGGAAATCTAGTGCAGCTCATTGTTTTTATTTTGAAATCCCGGCGAGGGCCTGCATTCAATTAACTCACCTGCAGTACATCACAAATATCACAGCTGCCACGGCCTTCATATGTTTGTGCAACCTGGACAATATTGCAATATACGGTAGCACAAGGTGAGCATTAACATTAAGTTACTGATTTGATTTCCATGCATCGTCGTGTTTGTCACAGAGTCGAGGTGGAACTGGAGTCACTGCACAGATATTTAAACCGTTAAATTAAAGAATGAAATAGGTCAAGTGATAATCATATCAAAGCTAAGACTGTTAGCTAAATGTTCGAACCGTTATTTTAGGACCGATGACATTTTTATATATTAGGGATGACTCGATAAAACGATTTCATGTCCAATACCGATAATGCCACTTGGAGAGCTACCGATACCGTTATCAATCCCATACTTTCTTTTCTCCACCGTTGCAGAGGCGAAAGTCAAAGTTAAGTTGAGTGTTTGGGCTTAAGAATCAGATCAGAAGATTGATGTTTGATCCTGAAATTTTAAATACATCTCAAATATATATATATATATATATATATATACTGTACATACATGCATACGTATATAGGATCTATACATCAGGATCAGTATCGGTCTGACAATGTATTTAGTTCTTACCAATGTTATAATTACAAAAAATATATAAAAAAAATTTTATATTTTTTATATTATATTTATATTATATTTATATTATATTTTAAATATGTGTTTAAATGTGAAGGAAAGAGACAAAGGCATTCCATCTGGAGTGAGAGTTCTTCACCATCAGGTCACAGTGTTAAACTCTTAAGTAATGGTTCCATGTTGCCTCGTTGAACCAAAGCTGACTTTATGTCTTCAGCAGCCAGACAGAATAAACATGCTCTTCCCAGAGCTCCTTTAAAACAAAGTCACTGATTCAGGCAGGAGGGGTTTTATGAGCTCAGGTGTGGCTGTGACTCAGCTTTATTTCCGGCAGAAGCAGAAAAAAAAAAAACCTTCCTCCTAATTTATAATCTATCATGCATTCACAATGGATGAGTCTTAAAACACTGCCCTCGGACTTTTTAATCACTGTAGCATTCTTAAACAAGGAGAGAAGAAAAAAAAACACTCTGTTGTTGTCGTTGTTAGTTTATGTTACACATTCTATGTTCGCCGCTTTATTTATGGCTGTAATAACACACACAGAAATCCCCAACTGCACTTGAAGTCAAGTGTAAAATGACAAACACATACTCGTGAATAAGAGTTCGCAGGCTAACATTTAACTATCGTATTTACCGGACTATAAGTAGCACTTTTTTTTTCGTTCTTTTCGGGTGGGTTTTTGACTTATACATTAAAATATATAATTTCATATATTGGTTATTTTCACACTGACAGCCCCTAGAGGGCGCTCTAGTCTTGTGTACCAATATCTGCTACTCCTGTGCGACTTTACGATTTACGTGTTTGTTATATTTACATTGATAGCCACTAGAGGGCACTGGTACGACTTATACTCCGGATCAACTTAGAGTGTGGAAAATACAATAGTTCTGCATCGAGACTTCTGAGCCGGGCCCTGCTGGACACACAGAGTTTCTACAGTATTAGCAGACCTGGATGTATTTCCGTTCTTATCCAGCTGAAGGAAAGATCAATCCTGTCCTCCAGCATCAGGTGGCAGCTCCCTGCGTTCATTATCGCCTGCATGGTCTCCCTAATGGGATTGGATTAGTCCTCATAAGTCTGCAGGGCTGATATTGAATTGTGAAAGAGTGGCCTTCGTCCAACCAGCTCCCCTTCATCTGACTGTGTGTACGTCTGTGCTTCTCCGAGATTATTCTCCCATCTGTTCTGCCCTGTTAAGCTAATGACCTTAATGGACGTCGGATGAAATATTGAGCAATGGAACGGAGGGAAACGTACGGACGTGTGAGGTGCGGTGTTGTACATGTTTTTAGGTGTGAATTCAGGTGCGGCTGAGTATTCGACACCGTCGGCCTTGCGTCTCTGTCCTTCTCTTCCATGAACTCAGCTGAGATTGTAAATGCTACATCTTCTGAGGTCTCATTAGCCACAACAACAAGGCCGAGATTTCAGCACAGTGGGCGAGTTAAAGACACGGGTCCTGACAAGTACAAGAGCTCGGTTCAGAAAACTGCAGTTATTGACACATCAGGTAATACTGTTCTCTCCCGGGTGTCGGGGGGGAGGCGTTTTTTTCATCTCCTCTCACTGTAAAATATAAAAGCATAGCAATACTCTCTCTCTCTCCCTCTCTCTTCCATATGTGGGTAATACCTTTAGGGTCTACCTCTGGGCTCTGGCCTACATACATGCTCCTGCAGCTGACTCTAAACTAGCTGGGAGGGCTGCAGATGAATGCCCGGCTGCACAATACCTCAGCAGGCGCCGCTTCTTTCAAAGTCACTGGAACTTTACCCCGGGACAGTGTCTGCTCGGAGCGATCTGCCGTCAAACCAGAAAATGACGACAAGTGTTTGTTTCTCCTCCTCAGATGAAGCAGCTCCTCTGAAATAAGGAGGAAAATTAATTATTCATTTCCAAAAAATGGGCTGAGATTTCACTGCGAGATCAATTTAACATTTCAAATAAGGAACGAGAAGAAATACCACAGGTTTAGAACCTTAAAATAAGACGTCCAGGTTTTCATCTTCTGCTGTTTTTGCTGATGAGTATGGAGTGTGTGTGTGTGGGGGAGTCAGGGGGGAGGGGGGGGGTCTGACTGTGTGTGACTATTAGTCTGTGTTTCAGTTTGACTGAATAGTTTAAAACAATTTGAGTCGAGACAAATTTGATCAGATAGATTACACACACACGCTGGTTTAGATCGGTGTGTGTGTGTGTGTGTGTTACTGGTAACGCTATACATGTGGGGACATGTATTTGAAAAATACTAATGTCCTTTGGTATTTTAAGGTTGTGAAGTTTTAGATTGGAGTTTGGCAGGATAAGGATCATGGGTGTGTGTGTGTGTGTGTGTGTCAGTGTGTGTGTGTATGATGCAGCGTAGACTCACCAGAGTAAATATTTCCATAACCGGCCGCCATGTTTGCAACCAATCAAACGGACTTTGCTTCTGTCCATTCAAATGTAATCTGCAGCAAATGGAGCTCAATTTTAGGAATTTATTTCACTACTTCCAGCCTTTGACCGTGTGCGATTTTGACATGATCCAAATTGAAAACCAGAGCTGAATTGATGTTGTTTTCTCTGTCCCAGCTTCAGCACCGCGTACCAGTGTATCTACTACTCACCAGAGCACACAGCCAAAGCCCAGGAGGTGCTGAGCTCCGTGAGCCTCCTCCAGCCTCTCATCACATCCTTAGCAGACCAGCTGCTCCAGGCTGCCCAGGAGCGCTCCTCCTCTGGACTAAAGGATGTTCTCAAGAACCTGTCTGACAAGGTGAGGTGTTTTTCACTCGTCCACCTACAAATCCTTCAACTCCACTGGGCCTTTGTTTTCCTAGGGTTGTTTTTTTTTTTCTTGTTTGGTTTTTCAGCTGAATTTTTAAAAAGTCTCACATTTTTCTCCTTGGACACATTAACAAGTTTTCAAGAGAGATTTACTCAGACTGGAATATGGTTTTGCTTTTAAATACATTTCTAAACTCAGATTCATTCTTATATATCCTAATTACTTGCGGCTGCGCCCACAAACAATCATTTGCCCGGTTGAGCTCAAATTTAGAGACCGTAAAAAAGAGAACATATTGACAACGACAGACGAAAATTGAGTGCTAAAAAAAAAAACTACCACATCACAGGAGTAAATAACTGCAATTTGGTTCCAGTCCTGATAATACTAATCCGACAGTTTGCAATTTAAACCTGTAAAATTGCCAAATTCTCCAAGTAGCTTCAGATGCTCCAAACCCAGCAGGTTGTTCTGTTACAGTTCCACGCACACGTGCACACGAGGCCCAGACCACCTCAGGAAAAAAATCATAAGTCATCGTAAAAACAGCAAACTAACACGAGCAGCACGCAGGACGTTTATGGAGCTGTTGTTTTTTTTAATCTGTGTAATTAATGAAATACATCTGGTGCTGTCAGATTGCAATCTGCTGTGGGAGAGATTGTTTTTACCACAATGGACCGCAGCCCAATCAGCCAGCTTAATTGGTACATTTGCTCTGTCACCACCGCCTCTCATCCTTGATTAGACTCGCAGGCAGCGGCCAAGTAAAAGCCCTGGTCTGGTCGGCACAGGCCGGGCCCCGCTCTGATTAAAAACTCACACTGTTTTTACTGTCAGGAATTAGATGTGTGTGTGTGTGAGAGAGAGGTTGATGTTTGCGTGAGACACTTTTTCAACTGCCGAAGCCCCAAGTCTTCAATAACATCACATGATTTATGTCAGCGTTTCCTCCTGCACATCTGCTCAGTGCCTATCAGAGAAATCATTATTTTTACACACACTCATAAACTGAGACAGACACACACAAGCATATGCGTCCTCTCAGCAGGTTCTAGGCCACTGGTTCCTAAACTTTCTCTGCTGGGGCCCCTCTTTGTCCCCCCCCCCCCCCCAACCCCTGAAAAAACCATTACACCAACACATTTTAAAGCCTGAAGGTTTGTCACATCCTTGGAACAATGTGCTGCATTAGGTTTCATTCATTCCTTCCATCCACCTGCCCCCGCTGTAATGGCACTGTGACCCCCGTAGGGGCCGCGAACCCCCACTTTAGGAACATCTGATCTAGACAGTGGCATAAAATTAGGTACTGGCCCTTTAAAAGAAAAAAAAAGAATAAACTTTTACTTCAAGGTAAGAATTGTAACTCTCTGAAGAAAATAGCTTTGATTTGACCTTGATATGAAAAGGAAAGTGGGAGGAGGA